TTTTTTTTTTTTTTTGGTACCTGGGATCGAACTTGGGTCCTTGCGCTTGTGAGGCAGGCGCCGGAACCACTGAGCTAAATCCCCGGCCCTCTTACTTTTATTTTCAATAAAACTATAAGCTTCCATATGATAAAGATTTCAGTATCTCCTCTACAACTTTTGGCTACACAATGCAGGCATTGAATTCTTACTGCTTGATTAAACTAAACCCTCCAGAAAAAGAAAAGTTCCTATTATCAATCACTAACAATTTATTTTAGAACAAAAAACTTTTTATATAATATATATATATAATTTAGTCAAATGCTTCATGACAATAAATCAAATGAGCCGTTCTTACATTTAGTTCTTATACTAATTTGAATAAAGCTTAAAAACAGTTTAAATGAGAAAAATTTTACAATTTCATATAATTAACATTCAACATTATAAAATTATAGGAATACAAAAATACCTGTATCTTTATACAATTACTGCCCAGAATAATATCCACATAAAAATATTTTCTCCCAAAAGAACTCCTAAGAAATAGGGAGGGAATAAAATTGGTTTCAAATACTTATCATCTGATCCAGAAACTGCACCCACCATTAAAGCAGTAAGAAAGTGTGCTAACTCTAACATAAAAAAGCTAAATTCAAAATACAGCTTTTATTTAAATATACTGAATTCTATCATCAATGATAAAGGCTAAGTACAAAACTTCTAAGTAAGAAACTTAATTCATGACTTTTCTCTGTACTTCCTTTCCCTCACCAACTGCCCTATATAAAAGTTTAGCAAGTGTAAATACTACGAATTTTAATCCACAAAATATTTCCAAAACTACTTTTAGTTTTCCTGACATCAACCTCTTTAATAATTATTGAACCTTTAAAAAGGGCACGTTTTTAAAGATATCATTTGTCATGTAAGAAGGATAAAAGTAATAAGTTTTGAAAGTTAAGAGAAATTCTGCTGAGAAGACAACTGAAAAGTAAAATTCAGTAGTATAATGAAAAAAAAACAATTTTTTGACAAAATCAGGGACTAAACTTAGGGTTGTTTGCATGCTAGGCAAGTGCTCTACCATTGAGCTACATCCCCAAAATAATTAAGTATTTTTGTCTCAGCTAATTCTGGTAGTTAGAAAATGTTTTTGAATTTTTAAAGGCAATACTACAATGAAGAACAGTTACTCCATCTGACTAAATTACTAATATATCACCAACTACAGAAATCTCTGAACACATCTTAAAGAGACTTGTTGAGAGACATGACATACACGACTTTAAACAAGTATCGTGTACAAGTTTATAAGCTTCACATATGTGTAATCAAGGTAACACACCTATCAACCATCTTCAAAATTCCCTCATCCCTCAATCCTTCCCTATTCTCATCCCTAAGTTACTAGAGTAACTTTTCATCTTCTAGAAATTTTTATAAGTGGAATCACACATTATGTACTTAGTTTAGTCTGGTTTCAAGCAATTAGCATAATTACTTTGAGCTTCATTTCATAAGGCTGTATGCATTAATAGTTCATTCTATTGTAGTGCTGTGTGGTATTCCATTGTGGGTACATGTCACAGCTGCTACGGATATTGCTGTACCTGTTCCTGTGTGAATATGTGCTTTCACTTCTCTTGTGTATAAACCTTGAGGGAATGCTAGGCTGTATGGCGGCTGATGGCTGTCAAACTGTTTTCTAAAGGAATTTCATATTTCCACCACAGATATAAGAGCTCCAATTCCACATTCTACCAATTCTTTGACATGGGCTTTTTAACTTCAGTTTTTCTAGTGGGTACCCCACTGACATCTCTGGTTTTAATTTTTATTTCCCTAATGAATAGTATTTTTCCATTAGTTGTTTACCATCTTTGTATTTTTTTAAATGACGTATCTATCCATTCAAATACTGTCCCAATACGTTATTTATCTTACCAACTTATAAAGTTCTATTTTTACTCTAAATATAATTCCTCTGACACGTGTTACTAATATTTTCTCCCAGTCTGTGGTGTGCCTTTTCTATATGAAATTTTCAAAAATTATTCATTGTGATGTCTATTTATCATTTTTTTCTTTTATGTCTATGACTTCTACCATCCTACTTAAGGAACCACTGCCTAATCTAAGGACATTACATTTTTTCATATATTTTGTCAAAATTTTTATTGTTTTAGCTCTTCCTCTCAGGAATGTCATCCATTGTGAAATCAGTGTAAAGGAAGGGTTGAAAACCATTTTTCTTTGCTGACTACATTGTTTTGCCAACTTTGGTTAAAATCTATTTACTTCATGTATGTGGGTCTATTTTTGGAATCTATATCTTGCTCCTCCTATCTATATGATCACCTGCTGGTCAGTAACTGGTCAGTGATCAGCCTTTTTGTTGCTATTCCATACTATTTAAATTTCCACAAATATCATAAAATCTGTCTATCAATTTCTATGAAAAAGCCTGCTGGGATTATGGCTGGTTTTAAGTCAATAGAATTGGGAACAATAGATGTGTTAAGAATATTTAATCTCCTGATTCATGAACACAATACATCTTTTTATTTTTTAATTTCTCTCAGCAGTATTTTGTAGCTTGCAAATGTTCAGGTCTTCCATATATATCTTCTGGCCAACTTCTCCCTATGTATTTCATATTTTGTGTGGTACTATATAAAAGTTATTTTTTAAATTTAAATTCCCAATTGTGTTGCTAGTATTTAGAAATACAAGTGATTTCTGTATGTTGACCCTGTATCCTTTAACTTTACACATCTCTTGGTTCTAACATTTGGTGGGGGGTGGGGGGGAAGTACTTAGAATTTCCTACACAGACAACTAAATCATATGAAAAGTTTTTATTTCTTCTTTTCCAATCTTTGTGCTTATTTCGTTTTCTCATGTTGACACTGGTTACAACACCAGTCTAAGCTGGATGTGGTGGTACATGCCTGTACTCCCAATGCTCTGAGATGCTAAGACAGGAGAATCAGAAGTTCAATCCTAGCCTGGGAACTCAGTAACTTAAGAAAATAAAAAATAAAAATAAATTAAGAAGTGCAAAGACACTAAGTTCAATCCCCAATACTGCACCAACAAACACATACACGCACACACAAAAAAAACAGTCTAATATTCAATAAAAGTGGCAAATACTGACATCTTGATTTTTCCTGACCTTTGGGAAAATGTACTCAGTTTTCATCATTAAGTTTCATATTGAAAATAGATATTTTTGTAAATAGGCTTTATGAAAATGAGAAAGTTCTTCTTGATATCATGTTTTTAGATTTTAGCATAAAAGTTTTGTCAAATCTTTTTTCTTCATCTATTGAGATATATACATATATAGTTTTTCTTTAGTTTTTTTTAATATAGTGAGTCAAACTGAGTTTTGAATGCTAAATCAATTTTGTATTCCTGTATAAACCATACTTCCTCATGAAGTACTATCATATATATATATATATATATCACAGGACTCAATCTTCCAAAATATTTACTATGATATATTGTTTACATATTCATGAGGACTATTTATCTGCAGTTTACTTTCTTAAAATATATTTTTCTACTTTTGGTTTCAGGGTAATGTTACCCTTATAGAATGAGATGGGAAACTACCTGTTTCTCAATTTTCTGTAAGAAATGTATAAAGAACTGGTATTACTCCTGTAAATGTTTAGTATAATTTATCAGTAAAATTTTTAGTTGTTGATTTCTCTAGTGGACATGTTCCAATTCATTTAATGATACAGCATTACCTCAAGTTAGCTATCTTTTCATTAGTAAACCTCCATTAGCTGGTAGCTTTCAAGATACTTGTCTTTTGTTTATAATATTCTATTTTTCTCTATAGAGACTATGCCATGACACTTCCCTATTTAGTTTCTTGTATATATAATTATGTATTCTCTCTTTCCTTGCTCAATCTACCTAGAAGTTCATCAGTTTTACCAATCTTCTCAAGAAGCAGCTTTTGGTGATTAATTTTTCTACTATTTTTATAATATCTAATAATATCTAATATCTAATAGTGATGTCTGCTTTTTCTTTATTGTACCCTTCCTTCTGCTTTGGAATTCATGTACTTGCTTTTTTCTTTTCTTTTTTTTGTAGTTTTTCATGTGCAAATTGTTGTCATTAATTTAAAACCATTCTTCTTTTTTTAATAAGGCACTATTAATGGTTTCACTAAGTGATTTTTCCAGTAATCACTCTTTAGCTGCATCTCTAATTCTGGTAGGTCATGTTATGCTTTTCATTCTGTTCAGAACATTCTGAAATTTCCTCTCTTATTTTTTTTCTTTGTCCCTTGGGATATTTAGAAATATATTATTTCGTTTTCAATTATGTTGGGATTTTCTAGATCTTTCTGTTGCTGACTTCTAACTTAATCCTGTTGTAGTCAGAAAAAACACTTTATATTCTCAAATCCTTTAAAATGTATTTAGACTTCTAAATCTGCTCCCTGTTATTTCATAGTGGTTAAAGGCAGAAATCAAAGACTGCCTCTTTTTGTTTTTGTAAAATTCAAATTTCCTTCAGGTCCAGGAATACAGTATAGTACTCAGCTATACACATTGTCTTCTCTTAACTATTCTCACTTCTACATAGTTAAAAGTGGGGAAAATATTCTGTATTACCAAAATATTTGCACTGAATCAAGACTTAACCTTATGATTAACAAGGCTTTAGCCATTTATAGGGTGATTTATACTAAATATTACAAGTTTATGTATGTTTGTTTTCTCAACATTTAATATGTTTTTACCATCAGTTTGTAACATTTTAAGCCAAAAGAGTATCTGGATGATTGTGTTGAGCATCTATCATTTTTCTAGTAATCTCACAATTCTAGAGACTAAATTTATAAACAGCACATATAAAAATTACCTTCAACTTCTAGAAGTAATACAGTTACCATATGTGTATCTAAAATATAAACTAATTTCAAAGACATTATCTTTACCATTCAATATATACGTAATATTTGTGGTAAGCTTCAATTACTACCAAAAGATACCTCCTTAATAGTACACGCAAATGACATCTCTATGATTTGATTAAACTGATCCCAAGTGCATTCTCTATTTTACCACATTAGTTTTCAAGCTCAATATGAGTAAACATTTCATGAATGGGACATAAATTCACTATGAAATAATAAATGAAGAACTGTGGATATTAACAGATTGTAATATAAGGAGACAATAGTCCAAAAAGTTCCATATCAAAATGTAACAACTAACAGGGTTCTGCTTAATTTCCCTTGCAGTTTCCTTGTGAAAATGAGCTATCAGCCTGACATTTTACAACTGGAGATTATAGCCTGCAAAGCTGATTGTAAATCAAATTATATTCCCCAGAGTGTGCATTATAAATATTTCATACATTTGCAGAAAAGGTAATTTTAAAAATTAAACACAAAAATGAAAATATAACTTAATAATTTATCACTACAACGACAGGTCACATGAAGGTCAGCACTTTACAGAAATCTAAAACTTTACTTTGTCTTTGCAACCAGCAAAATTTAGGGTTACTGGCTCTTTTACAGCAAGGTCATCTCAGTGGTCATTTTCTTTTCCTGTTAAGTATGAATGTGTACATGCAAATCAGTTCTATCTTTTAAAGTCATACTTTTTAAACTTTCATATGTAAAATTATAGCTGACAACAAATACTTTCTGTATATCAGTTACTTTCAACTCTTTGTATGTTTTACCTCACTTAATCCTCATAGAAATTCTGAAATAATTACTGTTGTATCTACACTTTACAGACAAGGAAAACTGCAAAGAAAGAAATTAAGTTACTTGCTCTGGGTCTACAACTAGCACCTCAGCAATGTGACCCTGCTGTCTGTGCCCTCCTACTTTACACTGGCTATCAAACAGTGTTAACTTTCAAAACAAAAGGTATGTACTTGCACTGCATAATATCAGCACAAAAAAAATTTTTCAAGAATTCCTCTGGACAATCAATTGAAAAGAAATTTTTATTTTCACATAATTTTTCGAAAGTCAATGGAGGAAAGACTGAAATATAAATTGTGGCCTATAAAAATTACTGAAACTTGACAATCCAAAAAAAAAATTACTAAACTAATATAAAAACTGGCATTCTACTGTAACACATGTCAAGAAAAAATTATATTTATAATATATTGACAAAGGACAAGAAATTAGTGCACTAGAGATAAATGAGTTGACATGAAAATTCTAACAGATTTAGATTAGGTGAAACAAATGACCCCAAAGCAATCGCAGAATGGAGACTATAAGTAGAGGTCCTCTGTTTAAAAGTCATTTATAATTTTTACCTTTTGGTTTCGAGGTAAGTCTTGAGCATTTGAAGGAGGTTTATAATTCAGAACTAATCTTCTAAATTCCAAAAGATTGAATAATGACTGAAAAAGAATAATTTAAGATACTTAAGGGAAAATTCTATAAACAGAATTGTGAAGATGGTTGGTCTCAGGCTTATTCTTGACAACTATGCTATTTATAGACAGAACTGTCAAAACCAGCACAAGAAAGCCTATTTTCTCCCTTTGAAAAACTCTATTTTCTTGTATTCTGACATACTATTCTTGACAATTAACAATATTTATTCTACTGCAAAACACAAAATAGGAAAACTTTTCTTTAAAAAAAACTATGTATTATTAAAAGCTATTCCTTTATATTAGTCTGTACTTAACATGCAGTTTCTAAAAATAAAAGGCACACAATGCAAAATAAAGAATTTTTAGATGTTTATTATGAATTATCTAGCAAGAGAGTACAAATAAATATATTCAATAGATGCTAAGTGACAGACACAAAGAAATTTCATACTATCTCTATGCCCCAACAACATAATGACCTAGAAAGGGGACAAATATATAACAATAGAAATATGACTTGACAGGACAGTAACACTGATTATGGGAGCATATAATGAGAACAGATGAAAGATGCTCTCAAAAAGACTTCCTAAAAGAATATTTTTAAAAGAGTAGTTTGCAAACCATTGCAGTCATAATAATAAACACTTTAAAATGAGATAAAATCAATAAAAATATCTGAATGTATCATACTCGGTAAATGCAAAGTATTTTGTAATGTTTTTATGTATGAATATTTGACATATACAATATGACGTATTAGTCAGCTTTCCAGTCCCTGAGACATAATACTCAACACTCAAAACTCAGAGGAGAAAAAATTTATTTGGCTCATAGTTCAAGGGATTTAGTCCCTGGTTGAAGTTCTAAGTCAAGAACTTCATGGTGAAACAAGGCTACTCAGTTCATGGCAGCCAGGAAGCAAAGCAGAACAGTGTCAGAGAAAAGGGGTGGTAGGGAGGATATAATATCCAAGGCCATGCCTCCTTGAGCCACTCAGACACACCAAGGAGATGCTCCACCAACTTGTTAGGTATGTCTTAATCCAATGAACTTGACATATCAGGATTAACAGTCACATATTTTACACATGAATAGGTGTAAAACATTTATAACAGGAAATGTATGTCTTGGTCACAGTTTATAAAGTTTAAAATTTGCTATACAGGAAGCAATAATGCATCACATGTAATATGTTTACTACGCATTATCTACCAAAAGAATACAAATAAATATATTCAATAAACGCTAGGTGACACACACAAAGAAATTTCATATTATCTCTATGCCCCAACAACATAATAAAAACCTAGAAAGGAGACAAATATATAACGAGAAATGTGACTATTTGATAGAATAGCCTATATTTGATAGACTAGAATAGCCTATTTGATAGAACATAAAGAGAGCACCACAAATCAATGGCAAAACAAAGTTTTTTTTATCAGTAGTTGGAGATTCAAAACTCTGGTTCACTACCTATAAAAAAATCAAATAGATTATAATTTAAATAAGAAAATTGAAATGAGTTTCTGATAGAAGAGACTATAGAAAAAGTTTTGATTATCTTGTGGTATGGTACGCTTTCCTAAGGAAACATATGAGTGCAGGAATTCACCTATTTATTCATTTCCTTTATTTCCTCTTTTCTTTGAGACAGGGCCTTGCTATGTTGCCTAAGCTAGTCTCAAATTCCTGGGCTCAAGTGATCCTCTTGCCTCATCCTCCCAAATAACTGGGCTATAGGCACACACCTGCATACCTGCTCATTTATTCATTCAATATACATACATACACATATATTATGATATGCTTTTGTGACAATTATTATCTTCAGATTTCAGATTAAAACAATGGCAGTATAGCCATTCTTTGGTATTCAAGTAAAATCTGGTACTCAATACATTTTTATGCAAAAAATATTTTCCTAATAATGTCCTTTGTTTGGTACTCTATACAAAAGCTCAAATTTGTTGGTGTCAACTGCCTCATGACTTGCTACTTTTTCTACCCAAAATAGTTTGTTTGGTGCAAGTCATTTTTTTTATGCATCATGCCTCTAAGAACTAACTGACAATGAGTATGCAGGTACCAATGTATATGCTATAAATTTGAAAGGATATGATACAGTTAACAGTAGACCAAGATCAGACCCTTTAGGGAAAAGGCAGAATTTTAAAGCCAGCAGGGGAAAAAGTTTTGAAAAAGATATGGTACAAATAATAAGGAAATCAGAAAAACAAAGGAATATAGAAAGCCAAGACTTTCAAACTAGACTGTGTATCACAGTAACTTGTAGAACTTTAAAAAATACTAATGTTAAGAGCCTCTCAATAAAGACTTAAGGTACCAAAGAAGATTTTGGTATGCATCAAAAATTCACTGGCACATTTTAAGATACTGCCACATTCCAAGAACAGGAAGACAACCTTTGGATATGTATGATGTTAAGGCTTATATCCAGATGTTCCCACAACACTTCATGCACTCATAGAGGGGTCTTTTTGGAGGTGGCTGGATCTAGGGTGTGTGATGCTGGGATTAAGAGTGTGTAATAGTGCTCTATTAAAATTACACACTTGAAGTAAAGAATGGAGAGGGGTAAAGGGAAACAGCCATCCCCAAACTAGTTTATACAACAAAAACATATGAAAAACTTGCTAACACATTTGTTTAAAGCACCCAATTTACAAACATAACCCATTTTCATTGCTATCATCCACCAAAGGACGAATAAAGATCCTTACCTGAATAACAGCACTAAACCAACAAGTATTGCCAACATTCTTTAGCCCAACAGGAGTTTTGTCCTGTCGTTTTCTATCATAAGGATTTCGAGAATCCCTCCAAACTTCTGTGGGTGTCCTCTTCAAACATGCTTTATTTTCTGCGATGCTGGCTTCAAGAACTCTTAAGCAACGAAGAGAAAATGGTGGTGGGGGGGTGTCATAAAATGCTGTACATCTAATCAACAGCAAATCATAAGTTTTCAACATTCTGGTTACTTAAAACTCTGGATAACATGTCTGGAGGAAGTAACATTTAACACTAACATATGTTAGTGTTAGTTAGAGGTTAGTTTTCTCTAAGAGCACAGAAGTGGCAACGCCAAAAGATAATACAGGAGCCTTTTTTCCCTAAGAAAAAGAAAATTTCAAACATAAAAAGATAATGTTATTCAGTTGAAAATAAATTCTTTCAATAAATTAGAGGTTTAGTACCAGGACCATAGCACCTAGATCAATTTTCTTAGAAATCACTGTAGCAAAACAGATATTTACAGTATCACATAAAGACAAATTTATAACAATTAATTTGAATCATCACAAAAACATTAAAAACCAAACAAACTGTGTTTTCACCTTCACTGACCATTACAGTAATTTCCTTTTATTAAAAAAGGTAAATTAAGCAAATTCTAAGGTTCCTTTTAATTCAAGGGAACTACAATGCTATAACAAATAAATAAAGGAAAAGAATGCTTATATGTTCACTTCATTATTCAAAAGTATACCTAGGGAAACAATCTAACAAAATACATTTCTGTGTATCAGAATAATAAACAATTATTAACTTTTGCAAAGTAATATCTTAACTAATATCTTAAATACAGTTAAATGAGGCAGCACAAGTAATGCTACTTTAATGATGTTTTTCTTGTTCTTAAGCCTAAAACAACATATCTACAAGAAACGCTCAAAAAAATGAATAATGGTAAATTTTTTTTAAAAATTATTACAGTAAAAGACATATGGCCATTAATCTTCCTTACAACACTTCCTCTTACTTCAATACACTATTCCCATTGTTCTTGCAATTTTTTGAAGTAGTTCTGGAAGTTTTTTTTCAAGATTGGTTTTAGTTGTACTGTCATAACTGACTCAATGTCCTGAATTGATTCAAAATGTTTACCTCTCATGGTCACTTTTGAATTTGAGGAAGAGGCAGAAGTCACATGGTGCCAGGTCTGGTGGTGAATAAGGTGGATGAGGATACACCATAATGTTTTTACAAGCCTGCATTTTCATTGGATGGCACTTGGCAACAGCATTCACTAATACAAAAGGCTTGAATATAGAAAGTATATTTAAGTTTTTTATTGACTTTTATAAGTGAGAGTATTTGCACTTGGAAAATTTGTTCATATAGTAAGTATTGGTAAAACATTCAAAAGTGGCAAAAATGATAGGATAAGTGCGTCTGACAAGCAAGGGAGAGTTATTTTGAGGGTGATTAATGGCAACGGGCCTTTCATTATAATAAAATTGATTTATTTAAATACACACCATATGTTTTGATTAGCTCTTGTATAATTGGTGGAAAGCCCTAATTCCTGCATATAAACTACTTCCCTACTCAAGAAATGTGTTAGTGCTCTAAATAAGCATAAACAGCCTTCAGATCTCTTAAGCCACTTTGTATTAATTATAAAAGCCTGAACAAGAGGGAGTTTTTTCAACTTTTTGGCTTCTCTAGATTTCACTCAGGCTAAATTATCTTTATCCTAAAGATTTTGCCCTATAATATTAATGTGAAAATAATATTCCCTTATCTGTTACAGCAGTATTATGACACTAGATATAATTTAATCAGAGTTCAAAGTTGTCATTACTTGAAATAAACTATGTAAACATGAGAAAGTGGGAATCCATAAAATAACATACTAAAAGAAGAACATGTTAAAATGCAAAGATCAAAGAAAAGGTTCACAGTTCTGTCACACTGAGGAATGCCCCAATAGTAGCAGTAGTACCACACACCCCAAAACCAGTTTTCATAGAAACCTCATATACAAGAACTCCTGAGAAGGTTTGTACTGTAGTTACATGAATCGTGGCACATCAAAATCAGGATATAGCTACAACACCTCCTTTACCAGAAAGCAGGTTTTTAAGAATATAAGAGAGATACAAAAAGTAAAAGAGCCAACTTGACTGCCAAGCTGTGGGCAAGTGCTACAGTTCAGCATTATATAATACAACAATCATTATAATCAGCCTAAACAAACTGTATACAAGTTAACTAGTTTATGCTCAAAAGTGAAAAGATAATGCACAGTATAAAAATAACTAAATACAAATGACTACTGTTTATGAACTTTTTTACTGACTTTTGTAAATGAAAGTGTTTCTATTTGGAATTACTGTTTCATGTATCTTGGTAATTAGAAGTGAATAAACAAAAACATGCAACTAGTACTAGGAATAGTAGGTCTAACACCATGAAGAGGAAAAAACACCAGTGATCAAACGTGAAATAGAATAGGTAACTGACTAGCTCTTGTGAACAGATACAATAACCTTATAAAAAGAGAATTTTAACTTACATTATAAAAGTATAAACAGGTCACAAGTCTAGGAAAATTATACTCAATCCTGAATCTCCTGGTAGATGAACCTCTGCCATCATACACTACTAATTATAGTAAAACATTTTTTAAAACAAGCCTTCTTAATGACCATAGACATATGGACAATGAGTCACATATGCATTAGTTACAGAAAAATTAAGAACATAATTTATGTGAAATACTTCTATCTATGAAACTTAACTCTACATATAAATCACAGGAAGTGATAACATGCAACTCAGCCTCAAGATGAGACTGAGCAGCACTAAGTCTCATGTTCCCAAGGGTCAACAAGACAACCAAAATCTACAAGCTAGACCACCTGCGAAGATAAGCTTTTTTTTCATTTTAAGATAGATTTTTAACTGCAGATCTAAGATTACTAATCCCCAAGAAATTTTTGTTAAATTTTTTAAATACAATCCATTCCTTCATGCCCCTTTTCCAACCCTCTGCCCACAAAAATATCCACATATTTCTGGATGTGTGTATTTATATACAAATAATATAATCATTACATTAATTCCCCAGCCTACTCTCCTCCACTTGACTTAGGACCATGTATGCCCTCAAATGTACTTTCTAGAACCAAGCAGTTGCCCAAACTGTTACACTGTACCACAAAGAAAATTGGAAGGGAAAGGAAGTTAGTGATGAAAGACACCATCTTCTCAGTATTCCTACATACCCTTCCTTACAGAAGTCAAAATTGGAAAACTATAATGTAATTGGTTATTGCTTCTCAAAGTCATGTAAGATTCAAAAATAAAATAAAATTCACATTTGTATTTAGTACATATATGTTAATATAGGTCAATTTCATCACGTAAAGTATCATTATTTACAACAAAAATATGGGTTTTAAAGAAATAGGTTTATTTCTCAACTACACCATATGGTAGAATTACAGAACTAGAAGTTAGTACACGAAAGAAGAATGCTATAATGTTGAGACTGCCTTAATTTAAAGTTTAAAATACTTTCACTTTTGTGACCTTACAACATACCTCAGGAGGTTTCCTCCTATCACCTCTTCTTGAACCCTAACGGACTTTATAAACACATTTATCATGTGCCAAAAATATTTATTAATCAACCAATGTTTCTCCTTTTTTTTTTTTTTTTTTTTTTTGGTGCCGGGGATCGAACTCGGGACCTTGTGCTTGGGAGGCAGGTGGCAGAATCACTGAGCTAAATCCCCGGCCCAACCAGGGTTTCTCTTCAAAATCTGGTGGGTAGAAATAAAGATTTATTTTGCCTCTACACATACATTGATAATGGAAGGAGCTAAACAAGTTTTTTAAGTAAATAAATAGAATATTAGATGCTGCATTTACTTTTTATAAAATTAAAAGCCAAATTTGTAACCCAAATAGCATTCTATTTCCAATCACCTTGTCCTTTTCTATATTCCAGCACTGGATGCATAAATACAAACTTTGCATGAAGCAAAGTCCTACATAAGGGTTTCTTCCCTTGCCTTATCAGGGATACTTCTCAGACTTTGAAGTATAATGTACACAATAACTATATTCCAGGTATTAAGACTGCCAACAAAAAGAGAAAAACAACACTATAAATCTCAAAAAACTCAGAAATAGTCTATAATAAAATGCAACATGCTAAAAGGCAATCTCAGAAACCACAAATCCAAATCTAGACCCCACCAAACGTCACAGGCTTTCTAATCTTCTCAACACTGATGATGACCTTGGCATTCAGTAATATAAGTACAGCAAAACACTATGCTGTCTCTCTTCCTACCACATACTAAACTAATGTTTAAAGCACTTATGGTAAATGTTCACTTTCCCATTAAAATTATAGTACACTGTTTTGGGAGATGGAGTTATTTTGTATTATTTAAATTGCATACAATAGTATTGTTGACAACATCCCATCTTCCCTCACCTAATTTCCTTTTAGAGAAGCAGTATATTCACTAAAATAACATACATAACACAAGTTGCATAGATCAATCAATAAAGAAAGAAATCATCTGTTGATCTCTAAATAAATAACAGCTAGTATTTTGACTGGTATCACACTAAACCTGTAAATCAATTCAAGGAGAAATTAGCTGTTTTATAATGTTCAGTGTTCCAACTAGTGAAATAGCATATATTTCAAAATACTTACATATATTCTTTAATATGTCTAAATGATATTTCTTCTCTTTTTTCCCCTGCAGTGCTAGAGATCCAACCTAGGACTTCACACACGCAAGACAAGAACTCTACCAGCGAACTACATCCCCAGCCCACTAATTTCCACTAAAACACCTGCACATTTTTTATTAGATTTCATTCCCAGTCCTTAATAATTTTATGAGTTACGAATAGTTTCTTTTTAAATTTTCACTTGCTCATTCTTTCTTATGTACAGAAATATGTTGTTTATATGTTATCAATTAACATAATTAAATGAATTCTTTTTGGTCAGTTCTTTATTGAGAAATTATTTATAGTAAGACACACAAATCTTAAATGCAGAGATCAGTGAAACTTTTTACAAATGTATATATCCATGTGACCATTGCTATCTGCCTTATCCCAGAAAC